TATTGGAAATCCCTTATTTTGATCGTTACCCCCAGGAAGGGTAAAAGCTGCGGCGAACATTACGGTGATGATGAGAGCGCCAACAATTATATATGATTTTGCTAACCCTTTATTCCAATCCTCTGCTTCCTTAAGCAAGACCTTGTGCTCTCTAGCCAAAACTTGGTAAGGAGTTTCACCATTGCCGTTTTTGGCATCTTTATCACGCTGGTTAACAAGGCTTTCTACCTCCTGCAATTTTAAAATTAATAATTTAAATGTATATATTCACATACATACATATATATATATATATATATAAAATAAAGCAGCATAGACAGGAATTTTTTAGGAAAAAAAAGGCTTTAATGACCTGAGTAAAATAATAGTAAAATCTAATTTAATTTAATCATTAGAAAGAATTAAGCAAAAAAGTAAAGAAGAATCCTGCAACGGATCAGAACAGGCTCAAGTGAAATTAGATTCCGAAGATGGGAAGGAATGTTTTGTGAGGCAGTGTTTTTGGCTTCTAGTTCATCTCAATGACAAGATGACCAATGTTGATTTCCTTAGCATATTACATTTTTGTTTTTAGTGGAGCTACTATTGTGTTCTATATATATAGTACTCAACTCCTAATGTACTTTTGGAAATTTACAGCTCTTAATACTTGTTATTTAGAGAATTTTATATGGTTGGACCATCCTTGTATATATTTCTAAGTACTATAATTTATGATTAGTAAAAACTATTGATTTTTATTGCGTACCTTGAACCATTGTATCTCTTTTTGCATCTGTAGAGCAGCACCAGAAATGTGAGAAAGTTGAGAATCAAAAGCCAATCTACCTGCCACATGTAATATATTGTTCTCCCTTGAATAATCCGGTGAATTGATAAATACAGTGCCAACGGGGAGTCCAATAAGAAAGCGAGCAATTTTCTCCTGACGAAATTCAATAGCATCCATGAGAAAGTTTCTACTTATAGTCTCATCATTCGCCGGCACCGGTGCAATAAGTAAGTCTGCATTAGTTTTGACCATTTCAATTAAAAAATCATAAATGCCATTCTTAATCGCACTGGTGAGTGCCTTCCTTGGTGCAGTCATGTCCTCCACTGTCCTCAACTGTAATTTTGTTAAGTGCTGACAGATCAAACATAGAATTGCATGGGCGAAGCCATGACTCAACTTTAAAGCATGTATTTGCTTTATACCTAAATTAAGAATAAAAATAAAGCATAAGCATAGAGGTAAAAGACAAATTAAAAACTTGATTTTGTTAATCGGAAAAAAAAAATTGATTGTGTTATACCTAAGAATGGAAGAAGCAATGAAGCCAATCTCCATAATCGACCTAATAACCAAAATATATATATATATATATATTAAAATGGAAACAAATTCAATATATCTGAATAATTTCAAAAAATTTTGGATCAAAGTAATATTACATTGTGAATAACCCAACTCTTTATTAACAAAGGATTTTTTTAACATGTTCCTCTAAGAGTATTTTTTAATATAAATATATATATAAAGAAAGTTAATATTAAAGTTAGTATCAGTGTCAAATGAATAATTGATAAATTAAATATTGATTTTTATTTTTTTAATATAAATTTATAACAAAAAATTTTATTTAATACATCTTTAACTTATACTCTTATAATACAAATTAAACAAACTCATTAACAAATTAATACTGAAACAACATTAGTTTAACAAGGAAAAACATGATATATCTTCAATGGCATTGAATGGGACGAGGTGGTGTACGTAGGTAATTAAAATATACATAATGGTTGTATATGGGTGGAGTTGATTTTACTTTCCATTATATATAGAGAGAGAGGAAGTAGAACATACCTGGTAATGGCATCTCTTCAAATTGTTTTCCTTTCTGATTGATAATAACAACAGTAAAATCGCTAGGTATGTATACCTTCAAATCTTTTAACAACAATAATTAATAAGATTAAATTAATAACTCAAGAAAAGCAAAGTGGACTGTATAAGAGAAAAGAAATAATTAAAAAAAAAGGCATGCAGCATGCATTAACATGTAGCATATATAATTGGTTATTAAAGAAACAATTCTACTTATTTTATGAGACTACCAACAAAACAATCAAATTTATGAAAAAAAGAAATAAAAGAGACAAAAGTGGGGATCGATGGAAGGATTAAAACGAAAGAATAAACCATACTCACACTCATAGATCCATCGTTGCCAAAATGTTAGCCCACTTCCACTGCTGAATGCTGTTGGCGTTCGGGCGAATCCATCCAAAAGAACCTTCCAATTTTCATCAATTAAACTTTGACCACGGTGAAGTACATCCAACATGATATCTACACATATTAAAACCATATATTAAAAATGTTGTCATTTTATATGTTTAATGACAGTATAAAATTTCATTTTGCGTAGTTAAACTTCGCATGCTCTTACCAAATCTTTTGGAACTGAAACACCAACGAAGTAATTTGGATCCTTGTTTTCCATTTTCGCATAATAGCATTTCGAATGGGGTTTCAGAATAGAGAAAGTTTGTCACCTCCTTATGCCCTTGTCTACATGCCTGTACTACCGGGATATCTTCATCGGGATTTACCATAGAAAGCAAAGAAGAATCCTCACTAACTAAATATTTTGCAACCTCGGTATTTCCATACGTAGTAGCAACTGCTAGAGCTGTATTATCCCATGGATCCTTTTGCACTGCAGGCGTACTCTCAAGCAATGCCTTGACAATGTTTGACTTGCCAACTCCAGCTGCGTAATGAAGACAAGTGTCACCTCTCCAAAAACTGAATTTTTCTGCCCCTGGATTTCTATTAAAAAAGTCCATTACAGCGTTAACATCCCCTTTGTCAATTGCATTCTGCACAATTAGGGACTGAGGCCTTTCCATAGTTTGGAACCCTGCAAGGATTCAATTAAAGCAGATACTATGTGAGTAAGTTCGATTGAAAAGGGGTTGGAGAATGCCCCTTGTCCCTTAATAAAATTCATTCCTTTTGGCTGATAAAATAAAATTTTAAATTTAAATGATTTTGAGGCAATATATATTATGATAAACCATATTTGAGGCGTATGTATTTTATTGGAAAAAAATATATTTCAGTAATGTTTCATTTAATTTAATAGCACAGAACCAAAAATAAATTAATACATTCTTTCTGGTAAAAATATTATAAGAGTTCATTTTTAATTTGTGTCAAGATTAATAGGATTTGAGTACATGTATTAAAATGCAACAAAGACATGCATTAATTCTGCAATGAAAAGATAAGCATTGTATTTTTTTACCCCATATCCATTCAAATTTAGTAAATTTAATTATTTTTTCTAATAAAATATTAAAGATGTAATATATAATTGATAAAATTTTATATTTATCTTTAATTAATTACTATTTAAATAAAA